AGGAAGGGAAGAATGCAAGGTGCAGGACCAGGGTGGCTACAAAGGGGCAGGTTCCAGTGACTGGAGCATTTAGAGAGAGGCATTCCAGGGAAGGCTGTCTTGCTTGGTGACTTTTTTACTATTCTGAAGGATCATTAAATCTATAGTTTACTACCATTCCATCAGTGTTTCTTTGGGGTGACTGCATTGGTCATTCATTGGAATGTAAGGGAAGTTGACTCTATTTTGCAAAATGAAAGGTGAAACGTTTTTCTTAAAATGTGAAAGGTTTGCCGAAACCAATTTGGCTCAGTGGATAGAGTGTCGGCCTGCAGACTGAAAAGTCTCAGGTTCGATTCCGGTCAAGGGCATGTACCTTGGTTGCGGGCACATCCCCAGTAGGGGGTGTGCAAGAGGCAGCTGGTCGATGTTTCTCTCTCATCAATGTTTCTAACTCTCTATCCCTCTCTCTTCCTTTCCGTAAAAAATCAATAAAATATATATTTTTTAAAAATGTGAAAGGTTTTAGAAAATACATTATTCAATCCATCCCTACCAAACATGGACTAGGGGAAATTATCTAAAACTTGGGCCTATGGGTTCTTTTTTTAATTTCCAGTGTTGTTTTACCATCTAATACCTTGATACTCATATGGTCAATGGACCAGCAGAGTCAGCAATCCTCTGGTAGCTTGTTAGAAATGCATCATCTTGCCCTACCCGGTTTGGTTCAGTTGACAGCACTGGCCTATGGACTGAAGGGTCAAGGGCACATGCCTGGGTTGTGGGGGGTCAATCCTCAGTTGCCCCGACCTGCGGGGCACAACAACGTGGGGAGAGGGAGGACCTGTGGAGGATGAAAAGAAGGGACAGGGGCACGGAGAAATGGAGGCAAGACAAAGTTCAGATCAAGCCTCAAACTTTATTTTTGGAACAGCAGTATATATACAGCAGGAACAAAGGGGGGCAGGGTTGCCTACGCAGCGGGGTATTTGACAGTGTATAATTGGTTTAGGCACTGAGTGACAAGGTGGTAAGGTATCTGGCAACACAGGATTGGCTAACTGCCAGGGCAGCACTCTAACTTCTAGCTTCTAGGGCGGTGTCCTAACTTTTAGCACGGGCTCTGATTTAACCAGCGGCTGACTCTGGCTGAGTTGCCATGGGAACATTCCAAGGCAGGGCTAGCTATGGGGGAGGATCAGGAAGGGGAGTTGCAGAGATCCTCCGGAGCAAGATGTGCTAAGCGGCAGGTTATCTTTAGCTTCTGGCCAAACCAGCAGGGTACCGCATAACTTCTGCTAGAAGGAACTTAATTCTAAGATGGAGTTGTATTTTCTTAAGACGGAGTTGCTTGTCTCAACTCTGATGGCTCCCAACACTCAGTAGGGGGTATGCAGGTGGCACCAATCAATGATTTTTCCTCATCATTGATGTTTCTATCTCTCTCTCCGTTCCTCTCTGAAATAAATAAAAATATTTTTGTTTAAAAAAAATGCATTTTTTTGGTCCTACCCTAGACCATCTGAGTCATAATCTGCATTTTAAAGATTCTCATGTGACTTGTTTGCAAATTTAAATTTAAATCACATGCATGCATGTTCAGGTGCATATTAATGGGAGGTCATTTCCATAAGAACTTTAACTTCTTGTTATTGTTTTAGAGCATTTTTAATTACTTTGTATTCAGTGTACTCATTTTCCCCCAAACACACACACACACACACACACACACACACACATACATACACACACCTTAATTAGTGCTTATTTTTATATTTTTATTATAAAAGCAACATATATCTTTATAGAAAAGTTTGAAAATAAAATAAAAAGGAAAAATTACTTATAATCCTATCATTCCAAAATAATCACTAACATGCTGGCCAGTCTAACCCAGTTGGTTGAACACCATCTCATGCACCAAGAAGTCACCAGATTCCTGGCCAGGGCACAGACCCAGGTTTCAGGTTCAATTCTGGTCAGGGAGCTTATGGAAGGCAATCTATTAATGTTTCTCTCTCACATAAATATTCTCTCTTTCTTTTTCTCTCCCCTCTCCCTCCATCCCCCTTTCTCTAAAATTAATAAAACACACTTTTAAGTAATAATAAAAATCACTGTTAGTTTTAGATCTTTTTTTGGTATTTTTTAGTCTTCTAACAATTTTAAAGTGGTTAATTCATTATGTATTTGAGTCTATAAGATATAGTTTTATAATATATTACAAACATTTATGGAGGATAGATAGTACATAGAGAAGATAGATACTGAATGTACAATTTTGTATTCTGCTTTTTTCTGTTAACATTTATATTTTTCCAGATTATTCACCCTTCTAAACATTGTTTTATATGCTTCATAATATTCCAATATGTACATAAACCATGGTTTACATAACTATTCCCAATTTTGCATAACACTTAGAGCACTTGCATTTTTCATTTTGGTAAGTATGTGCAATGAAAATTATTGTGCATACAGCATCTTAATATATTTTTTCAGTAATTTTTTTCAAGATAAATTTCCAGAAATGAGTCAGAGACTACTGTGAGCTTAGATTCACATTGCAAAATCCAGAGTATATCACTTAAAAATCACACTGAAAAGAAAAGCTAAAGGTCCCTAACAGAAGGCTAAGTGGTTGTCCTCCACAGGTGAAGAGAAAACCGCCCATTGACAAGACAGAATGGGATGGCTTCTTTGATGAGAATGGTCAGTTGGCCAAGTCACGAGACTTCATTTGTGTTAACATCCTGGAAAGGGTATGGTCCCCAAGCCTTGGTCTTTCCCTGGAACTAGGGAGCATGGGTGGACAGGGGTGGGTGGGAGGGAGGTAGAATTGGGAGAGGCTCTTTTGGCAGGTCATTCAGAGAACCCATGGCTTCTCAACCCCCATCTCAACCTCAGGGTCTGCACCCTTTCGTGAGGACAGAAGCCTGGAAGTTCCTCACGGGCTACTACTCATGGCAGAGTTCCCAGGATGAGCGGCTCACAGTGGACAGTACAAGGAGGTAGAACATTCCAGATCCTATAGGGGAGGGTGGGTAGTATAGTGGGGAGGGGGTGCTCACCCCAGCGTGGTTTTAAATAGACTTTAAACAGACTTCTCATTCTGAGTGGCAAATTTCCCATGGCACTCCTGACCCAGAAGGGGCCTTTACCAGCCCTGCCCAGTTCTATTTACCAGTCTACATACTAGTGAGACATGGGCTTGACCCCAACCCTTTTCCCCACTATGTCCCATCTTTCCCCTGGGCTTGTGCAGCCTAGGGAGGTGGAGAAGATTGACATGCAGGGTGTGTCGTAGGAAAATCCAGGGCAATAAGGGGATCTGAGGGCTAGCTGGGGAACCCTGAGACAAGAGCCCACCTGTGTTAGTTTCCTGGAGCTGCTTTAACAAAGCATTATAAACCAAGTGTCCTACCACAATAGAAATATATTCATTCTCTCAGTTCTGAAGACCAGAAGCTCAAAAGCAAGGGCCTAGCAGGGCCTCTCTCCCCAGGAAGGCTCTATGGGAGCACCCTTAGGCCTTGTCTCTTGAAGGTTCTGGCAGCTCCAGACGTCTTTGGCATGTGGCTGCATCACTGCAGTCTATGCTTCTGTGGTTACATAGCCTTCTCCCTTGTCCCTATATTTTTCCTCTGTGTATCTCTTATATGGACACTTGTCATTGGATTTAGAACCCAACTAGGTAATTAAGAATGAACTCATCTTGCAAATGTTAATTATATCGGCAAAGACACTTTTTAAAGTAAGGTTACATTCACAAGTTCCAGAGGTTAGGACATGGACATGGGGGACATCATTCAACCTCATTGTGATGATGGGCACATAACACCCCCTCATTCAATTCTTATAATTCTGAGGCATAGGTGCTAGTGTTATCCCACTCTACAAATGAGGACCCTGAAGCTTAGAGAAGGAAAGTGAGGTCGCCAAGGCTTGACCCTAGTTGTAGACCCCAGTTATTAAGTTGTGAAACAAGGATTCAGGTGTGTCCATCGGACTGCAGAACCATGAGGTGAATCTCATCTCCATCTGCACTCCAGGCGCATAGAAGAGCATGGTTAGGGCTGGCACAGGCAGAGTGGAGGGGGGCGTCCCAGTCAGTGGGCACAGCCCCGGGACCCTAGACTTGCTGTGTTCCTGATTTAGCCTCAGTCCTATTCTCATAGGAAAAATTATGAAGCTTTATGCCAGATGTATGAGAAGATTCAGCCCCTTCTGGAAAACCTGCACCGGAACTTCACAGAGACTCGGAATAACATTGGTGAGCAGACTGGGGTGGGAGGGCTGTGCAGAGGGGATTGCTGGAAGCCATCTCTAAGCCCTCCTCAGTCTTGTGAGGATATTTCTCCAGTTCCTGGGAGCTGTCTTGACATGAACCTGAAATTTCCCCAGCTAAACTGTGGTTAGTCCATCCACCCACCTCTACTGGGTGCCCTTAGATGCCCGGGGAGCATGGTGTTTCCCTGGGTGCATGTTGTTCCTGCTGGTTTGTCTTCATCTCTTCTCACCTTGGTCTAGAACTGGGCTAGATTTGAATTGGATGAAGGGTCACAATCCTGGCACTGGGTTCCGCCTGGTCAAAAATTTGGAAATGGGAAGAAACCCAGGCAACTCAGGGTGTGGTGAGAGATAGAGTTGGGGCGCAAGAAGGCAGGGGGAACTGATGTTCCTTTTAAAGCTTTCTGCCTGGATTGGTTGGGGGAAATAAACTCACCTATAGACCTGATGCTGGAGGTGATCTGATTCTATCCCTCCTGTCCCTTGCTTGCAATTTAGCATACGATATCCAGAAACTCTATGACAAAGATCCCCTGGGAAATGTCATTATTGACAAGAAGAAGCTGGAGAAGATCCTGCTCCTCAGCTATGTGTGCAACACCCAGGCAGGTGCGCCACAGTGCTGAGCCCCCTCTTCTCAATTCCTTGCTGGAATTCCTCCCCTGCCCAAACCCAGGCTCTACTCTCCTACTCAGCCCCTCCTAACCGGCCCCTCTCCCCCAGAGTACCAGCAGGGCTTCCATGAGATGGTGATGCTCTTCCAGCTGATGGTGGAACATGACCACGAGACCTTCTGGCTCTTCCAATTCTTCCTGCAGAAAACGGTGAGAGTTTGGCCTAAGATGAGGGCCTCCTCTTCCTCACTAAATCTTTAAACAACCCCTTGAGTTAGGCAGGCATTAGCAGCCCCAGCCATTTCCTCTAGCCCTGGTACAGATCTTAGGGTCCCAGAGGAGCCTAAAAGTGTGCTCCCCAGTGCAGTGTGTTCTGGGTGCAGGTGGCAAGCACTGGAGTTGTGGAGGCTGGAGTGATGCCCTGAGTCCAGCTTTTACCAAATCTTGAAAGGATGTGACTGAAAAGGCCCAGTGATGGCACACATTTCTGGCATTCCTCTCCCAAATATGCTCGGCTCCCACAAACATTCCATGGCTCCTCACACCTTCAGAATAAAAATCCAATGACCTCTGCCAGGCATTCAATCCTCCATCATCAGGCTGCTCTCATGGCTCACTTCTCATGACCTGTGTGCTCCAGGCACACCGGGGACTCAAGATTACCCAGATGCACACCGCATTGTCCAGGCTAAAGGCTTTTGTAATTGCTGCTCCCTAGAAAGACTTCATGATCCGTGAGAGGCTTCCCAGAACCCATTCTCATCCTTTCCTCCACCATACAATAGTGTGCTTACTGTGCTTCTCTGGACCTGCTTCTCAACCACAGTATGTGTGCAGAAAAATAACAGGGCTCACTGCATTGTGAGCCACACCTGAAATATCTCTGCATCCCCATCTCTCTCTCTCTCTCTCTCTCTCTCTCTCTCTCTCTCTCTCTCTCACACACACACACACACACACACACACACACACGCTCACCCACAGGTGCACACATATATACAGATGAAAACACTGGCACACATAGACACAGACATGATGTGCGCATCTGTGCACACATACATTCACAACATCCAGACTTACACACAGAGACATGGGCCTGACCTGGAATACAGAGACATACAGAAACTCCCTGGAATTGGAGAGCAGGGCTGGCTTTTCTGGTGCCCGCAAGCCCAGAGGATTTAGTTTCCCTCCCTCCCACCCATCTTTCACAGGAGCACAGCTGTGTCATCAACATTGGGGTTGGCAAGAACTTAGACATGCTCAACAACCTGATCAGCTTCCTAGACCCTGTGTTTGCTAAGCACCTAAGTGAGTGGACAGGGTTCATTTCAATGGGGTTGGAACCTGGGCAGTTGAAAATCCACCACAATCTCCAAGGGCAGCTGGAAAAATGACAGTCAAACACATCCTGTGTTTCCCAAGTGTGTGGTATGCTCTGGTGTCTGGCTGTCTGTTTCAGCTCCCTTGTGTGTGTCATCCATTTTCTCTGATATAGCCTCCTGTCTGGCACCCCGTTTCTCTCCCCACAGAAGGAAAGGGTGCGGGGGCTGTGCAGTCCCTCTTCCCCTGGTTCTGCCTCTGCTTCCAGCGCGCTTTCAAGTCCTTCGATGATGTTTGGAGGCTCTGGGAGGTGAGGTGCTCTGCTGGGGGACTGCCCCTCTCCTCAGGCAGGCAGCAGGAGAGCTCTTTGGCTTTATTGTGGCTTTAGATGGAGTCCAGGTGCTCCGGGTTTATTAGGTCAGTGACCCTGCTCCTGCCCAATAAGGAGGAAGCTAGAGCACCAGTTCATCCACTTGTTCATGAGATCCCATCAACTTCACCTCTCTGGGCAGTCAGGGCAGAAGAAGGGGCCTTACAGCCTATGCTGTGGACACCTGGCCTGCAGCTCACTTCTCTGCCTCCTGCCAAGTGCCTCACTCTTCTCTCATTCCCTCATCTTCCTGTTCCTCTGTCTTCCCATCCACTTGGGTGCTAGCTCCTTACTGAGCCTTCCCTCTGGAGAAGGTGGGTCCCCACAGACAGGTTGCACTGCAGTCCTTTGATCCCAGTCCCCATGGCCATCAGCAGATGAACCTCCCCTAGAACATACCCACTACCCATCTAATAAATTCCCTGAAGGCTCTTTTTCTGATTCCCCCAGGAGCCTAGAACCCAGCATAATGCCTAGAACCCCAGAGGTAGCTGTGAGCACTTTTCTGAGTGAGTGAGTGAGTGAGTGAGTGAGTGAGTGAATAAGTTAGCAGTGAGGCCCAGGAATGTCTGACCCTGGGCATGTGGGTGGTGGGTACTCACCATCTTAAGGGCAGTGCACTCTCAGGCCACAGGGCACAGACCAAGACTTGCCCACCCTAACAGGTTCTGCTGACAGGGAAGCCCTGCAGAAATTTCCAGGTGCTGGTGGCCTACAGCCTGCTGCAGATGGTGCGTGAGCAGGTCCTGAAGGAGAGCATGGCTGGCGATGACATCCTCCTGGTGAGAGCACCCTCTGGTCAAGCCCAGCCCCACGGCTTCTGGGGATTCCCCACCCTGCACTTTCCTGGCTGAAGGCCCCAGGCTCATGGGGAGCTGGGCTTCTGTGCCCTCTTTGCCCTGGGAAGGATCATGAAGGAAGCCGACATGTCCTGAGCACCACTCTGAGTGCTTTACAGATGCGCTCATTTGAGCTTCACAACAAGCCTGACCCAGAGGGGTGATGCCCATCTTCATCTTCACCCCTATGTTTCCTATGAGGAGTCCAAGGTCTTGAATGGTATTTAACCACTAGGCTTGATTGCTTCACAGTTAATTTCTTGGCTCTAGCGTCCTCCTGTGGCAAAAGATCTACAGTTTCCCAAAATTTCTAGCCAGTGCTGAAATCTTTATTCAAAAACATCTTAGGTGGCACCCCAATTGTAAAACAAGTCCTACTTGGCAACCTGTGAGATCCTCAGTAGAACCCCAGAACTCCCTAGACCTCAGTGTGAAAACTACAATTACCATCTCCCCAAAATATAAATTTCCAGTGTTGAAATTTCAAGCACTATGCCAGATGGGTTAGGAAAAGATCCAGTGGCCCCAGTGATGTCCATAAGTAGTGGCTTTGTTCGCTCAGCCTATGCCTGCTTCCTCCACCTTCTCCCGGCACAGGCCTGCAACAACCTGGTCGACCTTGATGCCGACGAGCTGATCTCTGCTGCCTGCTTGGTTTATGCGGAGCTCATCCAGAAGGATGTAAGTTGCCCCAATTATTTGTCCTTCTCCTCTTCCTTTTCCAACCCCAGGCAATGGCAGTTATATTCAGCTTCAGAGACAGTTTGTGCCACATTACCTGACACCAACCCACAGAGGTTATCTGGCGTGATCTTTTTGCTGTTTTCATATGTAACTCATGCCTCCTCTGGCAGACTACACTTCCCAAAAGCACAGCCCTGACCCGTCATTCCCTGCGTCCATCCCAGTGGATCTTGGCCTAGCACCGAGCACCCAGGGACTCAAGAGAAAATCACTGGCTGGATGAACTGAAATATGAGAGCAGCAGACCAATGTCTGTTTCCCTCAACCTGCCAGACCCTCCTCTTCCCAGGTTCCAAAGCCATTAAAGGATTTCTTACTCTGAGGACACACACAATGGACAGATGCCCTCAGTGGACAAGACAAAGGTGGTGCTTCATCCATGAGGTCAGGATCAAGTCCGCTGGGGTGTTAGGGTGAGGGCATAGTTAATACAGGTGCAATACAAACAGCCTTCTGGAGTCAGTCTGTGGTGGGCAGTGTGTGCCAGGTGCTGAGGGTAGACAGGATTGTCCAATGAGAAAAGAGGCCTAGGAGGGGAGAAGAGAGATTGCAAAGCTGGAAGCATAAATGCTGGGAAGAGATTGGATGGGTTGAGTCAGCAACTCCTCTGTGGCTAAGAGTTTTCCAAAGTGACAATAGTTCTGCACTGGGGAGCAAACAGTTAAGAGTCTAACCAACTCTAAGAGCCTTTCCACTTCCTGTGAAAGAGAGTTGAATGGTCTAATAGGCTTGTTCAATCCATTGGACTCAGTCCTGAGAGGAGTTGGCATCTCCCATTCCTCCCTTTACTCCCAACACATCAATCCCACATTAAGCTGTTTCTCCAGAGCTTCCCCAGTAGTTTGTAGGACAAAGCCCAAATCTCTGGGTAGCAGGTGATTCCACTCCTGGTTTCAAAGCCTCCCTCTCAATTGCACCTTCATTTATCAGTCTGAAAATATCTCCTCAAATTGAACTATCCTTTTCAGTTTTATACAATCTCCCCAGAGAATGCCACCTTTTCCCTGGCAGGCAGTTCAGTTTCTCCCTGGGGCAGAGACTCAGCCACACACTCTCCCTAGGTGAGGCCAAAGCTTAGAGCCTGCCTGCCCATGTCCTGAGGGGTTCCTGAGGGTAGACATGAATATTGACCAGAAAGAGCTGGGGTTGGGACACTGACCAACCCCATAGCTGTTCGGTAAGTGTCTGCACATGTACACACACACACACACACACACACACACACACACACACACACCCCTGCCCAGGGGCTACCATTTTTCAGAGAGGGTTGATGAATAAGAGGGATCCATTGGTTTTACTGTGGATCCTGGCCCTTGAGGGTGAGAGATGACCAGCTGCCCCATCCTTCTACTCCCATCCTATCACTCTCAGTGACCATAACTCCAAAGGCATAATCTCCCAGCATTCATTGGGAAGATTCATATATACTGTGCTTCTCCTTAGGCTTATGTTCCCAAGACAGGTGATTTAAATAAAGATTCCTGCATGGAATACAGTGCTCCAAGAACAATACTGTGTTTTTATTCTACCAAAGAGCCAGAGTAAAAGACATCTTGGGGAGCTAACTGTAGCCTTGGAAAGAGAAAGTCCACAGAAACATCAAATAAGCATTTTCTAGTGCTTCTTTTGGCCTGGTGGCATTAGTTGGTCTGTGGTTTTTGGTTGGGATATCCACAATGCTGAACATCATCTCTTCCAAAACTAAAAATTAAAAGCATCACTTCCTAGGCCAATGATTTTCAAACCTGTTTCTAAAGTCATTGTACCCCATCATAATAGTCTTTCCCAGAAACCCAGTAGTTGATGTTGGGATGGGGAGCCCAGAGCCCTCCTTTCTGGGATCCTCATCAGACTCCTGCTCAAACTCACATCATTAGCTCCAAGGAATCTCCTGCTCAAACTCACATCATTAACTCCAA